TTTAAAATGTCATGAGTTACTATATTGTATATTATATTTAAATATATTGTTTATTTACCTTAAACATAAAAGTATCTTTATTTTTACTATATTTTTTATTAATGTGTAATATATTATAATATTAGATGTACACCTTACATTTGATTAAATCATATAGTAAATATTACTATTTGTAGATAGTAAAATCAATTTACTATACGAACATATTAAAAATTAAAATATATATTATACATTTATGATTTAGTAATATTGGTGTTGTAATCTTTACTAAAATTGTATAATAAAAAATACCTAGTATTTTGTATTACAATCTTTATATTGTATTGACGAATATATAATATTGTTACCCTAAAAATTTGTTAAAGTAAATTTTAGTATATTTTTTGTACTATCTAAAATTTACTGTACATTTCTCTCCGTATACTCAAAACAGTTTATGGTATATCTTTTCAATTCCATTTTTTTTTCTTATATTTAAGCCAACAGCTTTTCTCCTCGACTGAATCCTATCACTTTCTGTGAAGCGCGCATTCATAAAGCCGCATCATCCACAAAGGACCTGCTTCCGGCGTTATTTCAAATAGGACAACAAAAACTATTTCAAACTTTCCTTTGATTTTATATGCCCAGAATTAATACTCCTAATTAATAACACAAAAAAAACAAGTTTATTTTTTACGGATATAATGACACACATCAAAATAACAAAAAAATTTATATATATTTATTGTTAGTGAAAAGAAAAAGCTCTAAAGGCATTTTTTCTGATTAAGATCATATTACATAGTAAAAAGAGCAATTTTTTACCTTTGGTGCTGGTTTGTAGATTGACCACGACGGTGCTTGGTATTTTGTTGCTCAAAACTTTTTCGTGGCTAGCTGAACTGTCCCGATGGATGTGCTCCAACAGCGCACTTGGGGAACAGCCCATGCCACCCAACACCCAACACTAACGCCCTTACAAGTTACCCAATGGCGATACCAATGCCCGGCCAAACCTGGAAAGAAAATTGTTTTTATAATAACAAGAAATAGTTATTTATGTCATTAGGTTAAGAAGTAAGGCTTTTTGTGCTAAGCTCAAGGTTTGAAGGCCGACGCGTAGCGGAGGCCTACAATTGAGCGAAGCACAAAAAGGCACTTCTTGGCCGAATGGCATACAACATTTTATCTTCAAAGCACTTTATATACCTAGGTAAATTTAATTCAACATCAAAGCGGCCTAACCACACTTTTTTAGAATCTCATTTATTTATTAGCTAAAGATTACATTAAATGTACAATAATTATTATTGCTTTTAGAAGCAGTAATAGTTTGACAATACCTAGCTACATGATTTAAGTAGAAATGGATTTTTGCTATTACATTGAATTCAATTAATTGTTTAATAAATAGAGGTATCTAATTTCAATTTGTTTGGATTTTTATTTAAGAAATAGGTAGTTTGGAATGTTTAAACTGTGTTTAACATTTAATTTCACTGAAAACTTAAAGCAAATTAAAACTTAAAGATAATTTAAATCGTAGAAAAAGAATCGTGCATTTTCTTGGTTGCCTAACCTCACTTTTTGTTTTATTATTCATATTTAATTTTACAATAATTTAATGAAAAATATTAAACATTAACACTAAAACAAACAATTTAGTGCTTATTATAAATAAATTAAACCAGTTTAGTACGTTAATTTCTTAAAAAAGGATTAATTTTTCAAAACAATACCCCTAGCGAGAAAAAATCGAACTAATTACTTGCCTCATAAAATTTTTTATCGGCCTAGGCCATAACAAGGTATTTCTTTATCGAATGCTAACAACAATAAAGTTTAAATTACAGACCGCGTGGAGATATTACCTAATTTAAGTAAATAGTTTGTCAAATTATTCTTAAAAATTTACTTTGAAGTAAAACTTTTTTAAAGTAATTTAATAAGTTTTATTTATGTATTTTTACCTACTTTAATAACCCTTAAGTTTCAACACTTTGAAGTATTATGAGGGTCGTAATTTTTACGAAAGATAATTACTTATGTGTATTTCACCTAAAGGAAATTTAACGGTAATTTTAACGTCAGAATTTTTACTTAATGGTAAATGTTACTCATAAGTCATAATTTTACGATATTAAGACCACTTTATAACCGTAAATAATTCCTATTCGCCTGGTATTTTAGGGTTATTAGTTGTAATAAATACTATTAATATTGACTAAACAAGGAAAAATAAGCTTAAAGTGAAATTAAAACTTTTTTCAGGTCGCCATAATGAGTTTTTTAAGTTGGCATCCATTACTTAATTAACATTTATATAAAATTTTTTTATAAATATTTTTCTAAAATATAATAAAGGAAAGTTTTAGTTATTAAAAAATGATTAAAACCAAATGATTTTTAAAAGATTTTATAAAATTTTGTAGGTTTTAAGTTTTGTTGAATTTTTACCCAAGCAATAATTTTTCTTATATATATATATATATAAATATTTAGAGGGCATACAATTTTTAAATATTATTAGTTTTGACAATTTAAGTTATATTTTTTAATTTTACTCTAGGGTGGCCTTTATTACTTTGTAAGTACCGTTTTGTAAAATATAAATTAAAAGAACAAAGAAATTACGAATGTCAATGTTTTAGAAAGAGAGAGCAAACAGTTAGTAATTATAACGTTATTTTTACGTAAATTTGTGGTATTTATATTGTTTTTATTACGTTATTCTTTTAGTAGATCAAAAAGGTTATTATGTAGGTAAAATAACGAAATAAACCATTCCCCAAATTTGGTAATTTTTCGTATCTATACCGTTATAAAACCGTTTTGGTTAACCGTAAAAATTACTTTAAAGTTGACTTAGTAGTAAATTTACAGTTATTTAAACTTAGTAGGTAGTATATTATGTATCAAATTTTATAAACGCCATTTTAATTACGAGTTTTATTCTGTAAGTGTTTAATAAAGTTTATAAAACGAGTTGCATAAGACAATTTTCATTCATAAATATTTGACATTTGACGAATTTAACCTAACTTTTACGCAATTTATAATGTATGACGTTTGACAACTGTCAACTAACTTCAGCCCGTGACAAAAGCGCCATAAAGCCACAACTTGTCAATGTGTATTAAAAAGGTCACTTAGTGTCATGGAAACATGTTCTATAATGGGTGTTTTAACCTTTAAGGAGGAGAAAAATATTATTAAATGGGTATTTAAATATTTGTAAAATAATAAAATTGATACCGGTGCATTCGCCAAAATTGCAAGTTTACCTATATAAATTTTAAAAAATTAAAAATATGAATATTGTAAATACATATACATACATATTTTACATAATATTTTATTTAACTGCATAGTATACAGGGTGTCTCTAAATTTCATTAAGTTATATTGTTTCATTTATATTTATACCCTATAGTTTTACTGTGAGATAGAAATTGATATTTTCCATTTCCCTAAAGAAAACTCTTGAAATTCAATTTTTGACTCGGCCGATATTTTATTCCCTCACAGAATTATTCTTTCGATATTTATTTTATCGAAAGATAAGTAACTTAAATGTTAATCAAAAAGTTAAATTGTACAAAAAAAAATAAAAAAAAATCCGCTAAAGTTAATTAATTAATTTTAATAAATTGAATTTTCAAATCAAAAATTAAGATAACAACTTCAAAATGTTCTAATATTTAATCATATAAAATAATAAACAATATTCTAGATTTAATTAATTCATCCAAAATTGTTTTGTTTTTGTAATCAAGTCATTCACTCATTAGAAAAACTGATAAATTAAAATGATGGAAAGATTGTTAAATGATAGTTGTAGTTGTAGAAAAACCTTGAAAAAAGAAAACGATTTGTAATACCACGAGAATTTAAATATTTTCGACGAACAAACCCATGTGTGCTGTATTTAATAAACATATTTAGAACTGTGTAACGCATATTAATCAGATGTTTATAAAATAAATAGATACACTGATTTGATTAGATCCACTGCCAAAATTATTACCTTGAAAATAAACACAGATAAAACTTACTTACACAGTAGTGTATTTAAATAAAACGATCCATAAAAAAATAGATTTCAAAAACAAATATTTACCTTTCAAAAATTGCCAAGTATTTGCCAATAGTCATCTATAATAATATTGTTAACAGTATTATTATTATTAATTATTCCACACTGATTACTGAGTACATCTCGAGATCATCATTTTTGACTACCTAATTTAAATATTAATAACAACACTAGCGCGTGGTAAAAATTTGTTGACGCGCACGTAACAAACAATTGCCGACGTCCTATCTTCACGCACACTTCGCACTTTCGACAGGATTTAAATTCGAATGATTCAAACGCCTGTTGAACGACAACCCGCGAACATTATGCGATTGCGCAATTTACCTCAACCAAAAGCGTGTAGATGGCGCTAATTGCCATCATTTTTACGTAGGATCCTACATTCATTTACAGAATTCCACATTTTGATTTATTAAATTAGTTGAAACCTTTAACTTAAAAGTAAAGATAACGCCAGCTATATCGCTTGTATAAAAATCTTCATTTGAATTAGTATTATTTCTATGGATAAATAATAACAGTAGGCCGAGACAGAAAATTAGGCGGTGCCAATGTAGCAAAAATAAAACGTTTGATTTTAATTAGCAAATTAATACTTTATTACAAATTAAAGTATCGTCAAAAACTAAAAACGACATAAACAGTAAAAAAGTAACAATGACAATCGTTAATTTGTTGCTATAAAGGCAAAATTAAGGTATAAAACTTTCATATTTTTGTGTTTCCAAGTTGGCAGCTCAAAATTTGAAATGACAATTATAAAAAGTGCCTAAAAATCGTGTTTTGAGATTGAAGTGTTTATTACAAATTAAAGTATCATTAAAACTAAAAACCACATAACAAGTAAATAAGTCAGAATGTCAATTGTTGCTATAATGGCAAAATTAAGGATTAAAACTGTCATATTTTGTGTCTCCAAGTTGGCAGCACACAATTTGAATTGACAATTATAAAAAGTGCCAAAAATCGTGTGTTGTGTTTAAAAATGTTAATAAGGTAAGTAAAATAAAAGAAAAGATAATCTGAAGAATGTTTAATGATATTCAAATATTTACAGCAATTATTTTGTTTATGCGTTCAACAACATTTCTCTTTTGTTACAAAATATAAATAATAAGATGACCGAACACATTGAGACAGGAATTAACGTTCTTTTGTCATTTCAACATCGAATTCCCTGAGACAATCAGATCAAATAAATTTAATCAATAAATTTGTTTGAAAAAAAATGATATATTTTGCTATGCCTATATAATGGAACAATAATTTTTACATATGTTGTCTATATATTCTTAATACCTAATATTGCTACACAATTATGTTGTAATCTTTTCATAAATACAATAGTTTGCTTAAAAATAAATAATTAAGACAAAATCCTTTTAAGTCAAATATTAAAATCATAAAATAACAGTCTTTTGGCAGATATACAAAAATTATAACACAACTACATTAGAATACTGTTTACTAAGTAGGTAATTAATATTTACAACTTTTAAAACAATTTGGTATAAAAATGTTCCAAATGAAAATTTAAGTGAACCATATTCTAGAAATTTTGAATTTACTATATTTATTATTATAAAAATTTATTGGCCATTTATTTATATTTACAAATTAATTAAGTCACTTGAATACTACTGGTTGCAAATTTTGTAGTACTGAAGTAAGTAGAAATAAAATACAACCTACTTAAATAGTTTGCAGAAAAACGATTAAAACTGGCCATTCAAACGTTGTACTTAACCCTATTCTTTACAATAATTAAATAGGATTAAAATCACATTATTCAAATATCTCTTACGTCTTTAAAATTAAGGAAAAAGCAGGCGTCATTTACAGGTTAGAATTTCGATACTCATGACTACCAACTCTCTGTAAATCACTGTCTTTTTAGTTTTACTTCGACGCGAGAATAACTAAATTTGTGCACACAACAAATACTTATTCACCAAGCAGACATACTGGAAAACACACTAGAAAATCTTAAGTTAAAATAATTAAAAAAATAAATACAAAAAATGTCAGTTTCTTTGAATCACTTTAGGAAGTAATGGCCGTTCTGTTCGGAGCGTTTTGCGCGAACAAAACTCCTTGGTATGTGACGCCGTTCAACTCCATACTAACCACTAGCGAGTTGTCCCCGTTTCTGGAGTCCCCTGCAATAAAAAATCATTAATCATCCGCATCATTAAACCGGTTAATTTAATTCTATCGCTGCTCTCAACTGACAACTATGTACATTAAAATAACGAAAAGTTCATTAATTATAAACGCGCCGATCCAATTTTGAAATCGAACCAACTTTAATTCGAAAAACTATCAATTAAGTAACCTAAAATTATTTATAATTAAGAAATTTTAAGTTTGATAAATAAATAACAGTAAGCCGTGACAAGTTCAGCGGTGCCAATGTACTAAAAATAAAACGTTTGATTTTAATTAGCAAATTAATACTTTATTACAAATTAAAGTATCGTCAAAAACTAAAAACGACAAAAACAGTAAAAAAGTAACAATGAAAATTGCTAATTTGTTGCTATAAAGGCAAAATTAAGGTATAAAACTTTCATTTACGTGTTTCCAAGTTGGCAGCTCAAAATTTGAAATGACAATTATAAAAAGTGCCTAAAAATCGTGTTTTGAGATTGTAGTGTTTATTACAAATTAAAGTATCATTAAAACTATATTATATAAATAGGTAGTTTTTTCACAAAAGTGAAATTTTGTTCAATTGCACAGCTAAATCGCGCACGTTATTTGTGTTTTACGTTGCAAGGAAAAAACTAAAAAACTGGTTTAGAACTCGATTTCGATTGATTATTCTTTATATCGTTGATTAAGAAACTCAACGCTTAAATGCTTATATAGTTACGTTAGTGTGTGTATTTTATCTAAGGGATCATGGTGAATTATTGTGTTTTTAATTGTAAATAAAATTCAAGAACTGAATCGTTGCATTTTCATGTTTTGCCAAAGGATCCAATTCGGTAAGTACATTTGTTGGTGCAGAATTAACTAATGATAACTTTACCTAATATAATTTATATTTAAGTTTGGACATTTTTAAGAAATTAGTAAAAAGTAATTTTTGCACAAACATAACCTTAAAATCAAGCATTTTTATATTTGAGTTCTCTAAAAAACGCCGACAACTGCATTTTAAACAACAAAATATACCCACGAATTCAGGGCAACATAATATAATGTATAATACATAATATAATCGTATTTTACCGTTGAGTGGAGACTTTAAAGAATTCTTAATCAACGCTTTTAATAATGCTAAATGCTGTTTAAATTTTGACGACTTATTTGTTTGACGATTTTTACTGAATTGAAATGTTTACACTTTCCATTTTAATCATTACTAAAATGTGTATTTATTATATCTAATAGATACAATTTATATTTACAGGGACTGTAGGACATTTATTTCTTCATTCGGATTAACACTGTTTATTGGAAAACCGATAAAAACTCATCCCAGGATTTCCTCTCGAAATACACCCAACAAAAAAAAATTATTACGCTTATTTTCGTTAATTAATCTGACTAAGTGTGAATGTAAAACGATTTTATTGGAAATGATGGTGAATCACATTCGGCTATAAAATGTTGAAACAGCACAAACAGTCTATAAAAATAAAACTGGCATTAATTAATCTTTAAAGTAAACGCATCATTACTCCAGAAAAATTCCTTTAATTTACGCGTTATTTAAATAAAACGATTTTTATTGCGTTCTAAAAATGTTTTCTGGCTTCGTAATTTTAATAAAAATAACCAAAACGTACCTCTGCTGTTTATTTTGATATGCGTAGTTGGCGACAGTGACTTAGGGGTGGGGGGGTGTTCCAATTCCTGTTCTTCGTCTACCTCCTCTTCATCTTTGGTGAACATTCTTTTTTTGCCAGGAGGGGGGGACTCTCGGTTTTCTGGCTCGCGTTTTATCTGAGGCGACGGTTCCGATAGATTTAACGGTACCTGGAACAAGTGCTAAAAATAAATATCCATTATCAAAGAATATTGTTCCTGGATCGGGTACAAACTTGTCCAAAACTATCTCGTTTTGTCGTTTTTGAGATCCTTACCTTTTGTGGCTCCACTGCAACCTGGTTGTTGTTGTAAATGTTCCACAAGTTGATTCTCGACAACTCCAAGTGGTTTATTGGTGATGTAGGTGCATTTGGTGGTGATAAATCTTGTCTTGGTGGAGTCGCAGCCGAACTTCGTATTTCTTTGTTAAGCAACTTCATGTATTCCATCATTCTCGATTCCAGTTCACCTGGGGCCAAACCTACAAACAAAAAACAATTCGTTCTTTAATTGTTCAGGATAGTTGGACTGTCAAAACATCTGTTATAAGGGCAACTCAATAACGGAAAAATATAGAACTGTATAGGATGACATTATTTTGATTTTCTATATTCAACAGAGAGGTAGAAACTCGACATAGTCGAATGGTGCAGTCGTTTATGTCTCTAGAAAGTATTGGAAAAGGGTTCAGTCCAATGGTGCAGCAACTTCGGATTCCTATTCTCTTCAGAGACATAGAAAATCGAGCTTTTCGAATTTTACTGGCAATGATTTTCGTTAATGTCCCCGAGAATTATACAAGAACAGCGCAATGCAATATCGCAACGGTTACGACTTCTCTTTACTCTACCAAGTTATAGAAACTGGAGTCTCTTTAATACTGTTCCAGTCAATATTTCTGAGAGGATAAAAAGAGGGTGTAATTCGATATTGCAAGAAGTTTTGATCTTTTGATGGATGCAAGTAGTTTGAATATTCTCATTTCTGCATATGATTTTGTTGAAAATAGTTCCTTTCTTTGGTTACTTTGTCTGATTTTTATTTACCGTAACAACTCGGGTATGTAAAGCACAGAGGATATGATGTAAAGTATATTTATGAAGTACCTATATTTATATTAAAAATTTCAGAGGTTATGTTGAAAAAATAATCGAAATGCTATTAAACTTTAATAATTTAGTAATGAGGTCTGTTGGTAGACCCTGCACATCTCCACTGGTAGTTTTACGTTAGTACAGCAATATTTAAATCTGGTTGATCAAAAAGTACACACCAGTGCAGGTTATGGTAGCATCTACGAACAAATGATGGCCCATTGCCAATTATTCCTTTAGGAAAAATATTCAACACAGCTTAATTAATTAATAAAATGACAAAAATTGTATATAGTTTTTTTAAGCATTGCACTTACCAGGCACTGGTCCTCCATTCAAAGGTTGTCCCAACGGCTGCGGATGGCTAGGATGGTGCGCCCCGTTGTGTAAGTTCATCCCTCCAGCCATCATTGAGTTCATTCTGGCGGCAAGTTGTTGCTGTTGTGAAATCAGGCTCAGTGGTGTCGTCATTGGGTGGGCAGCGTTCGGTGATCTTTGCATGCTGTCGTATTGCCCGTAACTGCTTCTACGACCCTCGCGACGGTTACCATCAATTGCAGCTTGTAACTCTTGCGGGGTGCTCAGGCGACGTTTCTCGCATTCGTAGGGGTACAAGTATTTCATGTATCTGAAAAAAGGTTTCTCGATGAGTACACAGAACCCATTTGCCAGTAAAATTACCCTGGTAAAGGAACAAGACGAAAGTTACGCGAAATACAAGGTTAGCTAACTATCTAACTATTTGTTCTGTGGTCTGGCACGAATCCCCAACAAAATCCTTTGAATCGCCCTGGTAGATAACTAACCAACTTTTTTTCAAATGGCACAAGCAATAAACTTTCGTTAAATAAAACAATTTAATTTCGTATTAAAAAATAAGATCTCTTTTGTGTTCACATGGGTTGTAAAAATGATCCCATAATCTTCGGAACTTTTTATCGAAAACCTATTAAAATTATATGTATTTCGGACGGATAAACCGTTCGGTATATAATTAAATTAACATTTAACTTTTTATTATTGTTTCTTGGTTATAATTTTATGGCGTATGATTTAAATTTTTAGTAAGGCGAGGCTATAAATCATCGGATAGACATTTCTGTGAGATTTAAACCGCTACACATATATTGGTTTTATTTTTATATTTAAGGTCTTTAGATCTTTGTTGACCAAACTAGTTCAGCTATTTGCCATTAAAAGACTCATTGTATTTTTTACGACTACCCATGTTAAATAGAGAACAAAATATTAAACGAAAACTCTTCAATTGTTCTATAGTAAGTAGTTGGGCGGCTTGAGAAAATAAACGGCAAACTTTATAGCAATACTATAAAATACAATTTATTTTCCGAACATGAATGGGCGGCTAGATTTAACCTACACAATGCGTCAGATTTTACTATCATAGAGCCGTAAACAATGGTAATTGATCAACATAAGTCTCGGATCTAAGTGCTAGTAGTAACTTGACGCAAAAATCAATGTAATGCTGTCTGCTGGTAACATGTTTTGTACCTACACAATATATGCATTTTCTAAATCATATTATTTTATTTTTAACATAATTGAAACAATAATAACTATTTGGCACGTTAATTATGTATTTCTGATAGAATTCAACTACCAACGTTATTATTCATCAGTCAACATTTCTTATGATCTTAATATAGCGTCTAGATCATTTATCTCCCGAGCTTTAGTGTCATCTGTCATAGGAAAAGTTATATTTACTTGATCCAAAGTGAATTACAATAATTAATTTAAATAGAACGCATTTTTTTTCAACTAGATACTTACTGTGTTCTAAGGGTGAACGCTGCGGATGTAATGGAAGAAGGAAGATGCAGACCTTTAATTATTTCTTGCCACAATTTTTTATTGATCACATCGACAAGCCCACCTCTTGCTATCACGAGATTATACAACTCGTAGAGATCCAAAACGGATTTGGCCATGATAGGTAGTCTGTTGATTGGAGTGCCTGAAACAAAAAAAAAAACAAATGAGAGAAGTCTCTTTAATGACCCTAATGACTTAAAAATTTAATCATCATTTTTACTGTCAAAGAACTGAGTCTCGCGCTTAATTAATGTTCGGTTTATTTTCGTAACGTTTAATATTTCTTGCGATACGATTTAAGGTTTTTGTTTTCGATATAAACGCTTCAATACAAATAGAGTGAGTGACATGCTCGGGGCCTGGGACCGGCGCCAAATTATTCCACGAGTTAAATCAGCGTTTGACATACTGTATGTTTCAAAGTCGTCGTTCCTAGTCTAAATGGAAAATTGTTAGTTTTTTTTTGTTAATTTCTAATTTATAGTGCCTCTTGAAATTTAGTAAAATGAAATGGTTCAATCTTCTTTAAAGTCAGTATTTGGTCTGAATCGTCTTTGAAGTCAGTTGCTTATTTCAAATTAATCGAAAGGTGATGCTGATGTTTGATATTCTTGAAATTATTTTAAATAAAATAACCATACAATCATTTATTGAACAGATATTATCTTCTATTTGTTCCTGGTAGATATGTAAAGGTAAAAACATAATTCCTAATTACTATTTAGGTAAATATCCGCCAATAATTTTTAACTTTAGAATAAACTATTATTAACATACTAAAGTTAAGAATTACACACCTATGTAAATATTAATGTTGTGAGTGGAATTCCGTATAAATCAGTTTTAGGTACACAAAATTAGTTCAATTTATTTAACAATGATTACAGTATTACAACAAGATGGAACACCTTGAGATCTGGATCCACACAATTTTTGAAGCGAATGTTTCCTGAACAATGGATTGGACGAATAGCAGATTTGAACAAACTTTATATTATAAACTTTTATAAACTATTCTTGTTGTTTTTGTTCAGTAACCATTCCCACAACAGTCTGTACTACAATGTATTAAAACTGAAAACAATCGTGAAACAAAGTATAGTTTCTTGAATTCGGTTGTCACATAACTTAAAATTAAAAAACCGACCAATAACAAAGAACGGCTGCGCGTATATTATTTCGGGCGATCGAAAATACGGCTTTATTGAAAAATAATAACCTAGACATAATTAAATCTCTGCTGTGTTAATTTACAACGTTTTACGACCAAAGATCAAAGGGCCGCCATTTTAATAATTTCATTTATTTTCGTGGAATCGTGGACTATATGGCCGCAGAGGAGGGGTGACGTCACGCGGGCGAGAATTTTACGACCGTTCCGAGAACCAGAACAATTCTACATACGAAACGACAGACAGAATGTCTGCTGAAATGTTCGCAAAGCTACGACTTCTTAAGTTGTTTTTTTTTTCTAAGGTTTTTGTAGTCCATTTTTAGCAAGGTTAATTTGATTTGATTTGATTAGAATGGTGAATAAGGATACTTCCGTGCTTGTTTATGTTTTTATTGCGACTAGTTTCGATTTGCCTGAAGATGATCTAATATAGATCGAATCAATAAAAACATGGGTTGTGAGATAAAAATTGGCCCGGGCAGAGGCGATAATCAAAGCTATGAATGATCACTATAGTGAAGTAAAAAGGCAACAATGTATGTCGCGTCTAATTAGTCAAACGTTATAGGCAGAAGCGGAGAAAAAAGTTGGGCAGTAAAATGGGCAATAAAGCGGTGTAATTACGCGGGAAAAAATGCCGCGTTTAAATTTAATAATCTCGGAAAATGTAAAGCGGCCGGTGATTTAGTAGGTGCAAATTACGAGCGTTCAAAAACGATATTTCTACACCGTAAACTTTGTTGCACCGCGGATATTGTTGACAACGAACGATAAAATAAAAATATCCTCGTCGCAGGAAACAAATCATACGTGCGGCACTGTAAAAGACTTGATTCCGATCCAAAACAATAAATTTAGATGGAATAGACAATACACCTGCGTAATAATTAACATTAGGCCGAATAAAAGTCGGAATTAGACTGAGTGACAGAACATGACGGATTGCAGCCACATAGGAGACATAAAAATATCGGGTCGGCCGGTTTATAAATAAATGGGCCGGCGCGCTCCAATTTCGACGCGTCACTGTCGAATTTATTCCTTCGCTCGTCCACTTTGACATGGCTCTTACATATACACACTATTTATCTTTCTCTTAAATATCACAACATCTCAACTTTTCCGAAAGATTAATAAAGTAGTTACTTTTGCAGAAAGTGTCAGAAATCAGGTTTTTTGATCAGAGCAAATATTTCTGTCTAGTCAAATTTACGAAAAGGTAAGTACAGCTATTCTTATCATTCAACATTAATAACTAACGTAAATTATTATCCTGACTATTTTCGTATTTTTCCATTACAGCAACAAGTAACACCATCTGTCCTCTGGTCAAAACATTCGATGATAAAAACTATCCCGTCTGTTGAAGAAAATATTTTTAATACCACAAAGTCAAGTGTAGAGATGAGAAGTACTTTAAAGTAATCAAAATCATACTTTAAAGTTTCATATTTAATTTCGTTTACTGCAAAATATCGTCCAAAAAGACAGTTGATGTCTTTTGAGTGTTTTCCTTGTGTGAAACTGTTCATACCATGGACCACAACATTAAAAGAAATTAACTCGATACCCTAGGGAATTTAGTTTGGGAAGGTGCTCAAAAATGATGTCTAATAAGTCCGTAAACAGCTATTTTAGGGACTAGATACAAAAAAGATACATGACATAAATGTGGAATGAGAAAATGGTCCCAACGATCAAAAATTCCCACCAGCCTAGTACAATGCAATGATTAAATCTTCTTTAAAGTCAGTATTGGTCAGTATTTGGTCTGAATCTCCTTTGAAGTCAGCTGCTTTTTTCAAACATGTTTGGGGATTTTAAATGAATGTTGCAATTCTTCTTTCCATGGAAAATGATCTCTATAGAAAGCAATTACCAAAAGTCTGAGCCAGATCTCGGATAACATTCGTAGGTAGGATACTTTTGATTCTAGTCATTCTCTCTTTTAGCCAAAATAACAAAAGATACAAAATTCACATAAATTTAGTTTGGGAGTAATAGTTTTAAAGGTGCTCAAAAATAATGTCTAATAAGTCCGTAAACAGCTATTTTGGGGACCAGATACAAAAAGGATACATGACATAAATGTGGAATGAGAAAATGGTCCAAACGATCAAAAATTCCCACCAGCCTAGTACAATGAAATGATTAAATCTTCTTTAAAGTCAGTATTGGTTAGTATTTGGTCTGAAACTTCTTTGAAGTCAGCTGCTTATTTCAAACATGTTTGGGGATTTTAAATGAATGTTGCGATTCTTCTTTCCATGGAAAATGATCTCTATAGAAAGCAGAAGTCTGAGCCAGATCTCGGATAACATTCGTAGGTTCTTTAAATGTATAAATAAAAGGGTACCTGTGATCTAGACATAGCCAAAATTGTCGATCAACAAAAGACACAAAATTCACATAAATTTAAATAAGTATACAATTAAATAAAATTGTAGTTATTAAGACTTTCTACTTTTTTTTTTTAATTATTGTTCTTATTGTTTTTACGTAACGTGGTGGCAGGAAAAAGTGGACAGCTGATGTTTGACATACACCTTGCACCATGATGGTAATTATCGTGATTTTGGTCATTTTTAATAATATTTGCATGGATCCATTGGTAGCATGTGCGGCAGCATTACCCAGACGTGCAATCATCTTATTTTCGTAGAAATTGTTTGCAGTTTCTAGTAGATCACGAAACTTAATGTAAGCGTGTTATTATACGTATGCAATTTCAGTAATTTCTACGTGTTATTAAATAAGGTTAACCATGGCACAAAAGGCAAATACCATATTGCATAGGGTCCCGAAGAAATGGACATATGCCGGCAGAGGCATATACGTAATTGTATGCATATTGCCGGTAATGTTACCTGTATATTTTCCTATACCTCAACACGAAGCAACATTTTTTATAGGGGATACAGTAAATACGACACTTATTTCAATAGCAGAAAATCAACCAACTAACAACTTCAATTATAATCCTGAGATTCACCCGTTGGCTGCTATGTCTTAAACTGCTACAGTTACAGGTCCGACCAAAGCATTTTGCATTTGTTGAAACAGAAACATAAGCCACCGCAATAAAACGTACAATGTATGCGGAGGTAATTGCGTTTGTTTTGCGACGATAAAAACCTTTAGCAGCCTTAGGCACGCATAGGGGACTTGATAACCGTGCAGCGCCCAATAAAAACAATGGACTGCACGTCAAAGCTTTGCTGGGTACTTTGCTTTGATCGAATCATATTTAGAAGGAAAGAAAAGTAGCGAGCAAACAATAAATGATACCATTAAACACGAAACGTTCTTTCATCTCTCGCTAGCGGTCGCCATCTTGCATCGTAAAAATCACGCTGCAACGTACCAAGTGATTGCCACATTGAAACAATTACAAGATATTTTCAGTTGACAGTTTCAAGTTCATTGTTTCGTTGTTTGGTAACCTGAAGGACTGCAGACATATATAATCTTTGTAGTAATAATATGTATATACTATATTTCAAATATAAAGGACATTCAGGAAGATATCAAAGGCAAATGCACCAAATAGCATGGAGGAATTCACAAAATAGGAAGAATTGCAAAATGTTTAAACTTGGAGAATTCTGAATTTTACATTGCTTTAGGAGATCGTCAGTCAGTATGTTAGCGGAAAAGGTAGCCATGGCGATCATCTTACTTAAAACAATTTGGGGGCGAAAAATCTTGAGCACACGGAAAAAAGCTATCCTATATTTAAGATTAATCATCTCAGTTCAAGTATATGTTCATCTCACCATTCCACAAGTATATATACTTTTTATTTAATCAAATAAAATATACACTATGCTTAATTTAAGAATAAGTATTTTTTGATACATTCTTGGCGATACAATATTTACTTTTGGATTAAATATAAGGTATCTTTATGTAAGTTAAGCAATAATTGTTTCTTTTTTTAACTTTTGCTCGACTTAATTAAAGGTTAG